TGTTATAGTCAATATGAAACAAAGTGAAGGTTGCACACCAGGATTCTACATCAAGAACAGCTGACAAGAGTGGGGTCAAATGTATGTGCTATCTGAAAGAAATACATAATTCATGGGAGCTCTAAAAATCATTATATAAATACAAAAACTTTTTTATGAAGTTAATATTTCTTTTGAGAGAAAAAAAAAAAACTAATTTCATTCATAAGTACAGTGGCCGGTATACATCTGTTCCATTTTTATTTTATTTTTTTATTTTTTCTATTTTTTTTTTTTTTTTATTTATTTATTCATTTTTATTATTATTTTTTTTTCTTGCATTTAGCACTTTCCAAATATGGTGTTTCTGAATGTTTAAAACCATTCTTATTTCACAGGTCAAAATTCATAATGCAAACATGGTGGAAAAACAATACTTGATTTTATTTTTCCCAGTTCATCCCTCATCCATTTGGGCATCCCAAAACTTTGAACTTAAAAACATGTAAATAAGACTATTTAATCATATAACAATGGATTTGACTAGTCCAGAATTTGGGACAAAATCTCACTTCTCATTTGAAAAGATTCTTAATCCTTAGATCATACTAATTCATGAAATATATCTGGTTACCAAACAAGTGCTTCACACCCACCACAGCAACTCTTTTTGGGGACAATTAACTTTTTGCTGGCTGCACTATGGGCCTACCAGCTACCCAACCTAGGTTATGAATCTGATGAAAGGAGCATAAAAAGTTTACTTGCAGATAAATGGATTCCGGGATGGGATACCTGTATCACACACAAAGATGAATATTTTTAGGTTTGGTGGAAACTAACAAATGTAGAATAATTTGTTTAATTTTTCATGACATTTTACACCTTCACATTTATTTCAAGTGTTGTTTATTAATACTATACATGTCTGGATTTCAGCAGGGTTTTACTGCACATCAACATGAATATGCCTCAACTCTTTAAAATAATGGGAAGAGGAGCTACGTGAACCTATGTGACTGCAATACCATCCACAAGAAAATGTAATGTATAAGCTCATCAACATAGCATAAATGTATATCTGAGTCAAACTACATATGCTCAAGATCAAAGCTATCCCTCATATCCAAACCTTCACTTTCATTCCCTTGAAAATATAAGAGCTACATACTACAAACAATAGTGCTCATGCCCTATGTTTCTCAAGACACTTTTTTCATATATCCACTATTATCTCTGTCTCTCTGTTCTACTTAGCAACTGCTCTATCAATCCTTTAAATATAATTAACAATTAAACATTAACCATACTAAGTGCAGTAAAGTATTTCTCTTTCATAAGTATGCATGAAACATACAAAGGTGACCTCAGGATCACAAAAATACCAAGAATCTTATCTAATTTTACCAACAACTATGCTTTTCCCTCCTAATAATCAAATTTTAATAATTCTACACTGTATGTAACAACTGTACATAAGCAAATTCCCCTTGTCAGCACAAGAAAAAGAATGCCCTCACTCACTTGACATAATGGCCCTCGCATCTGGTCTATGCTTGGGCCCCCTGGGAAGAAGCACAGGGGAGAGTGATGGATAGAAAAGTGTTAGCATAGCAAGAGCAGAAGGTGAGAAAGTTGAATTTCTGGGTTAAAAATAAAGCTATGAAAAACAATTGGATAATTAAAATAGTTGTTTCTTTGCCTACAGTAGAGTGAATTTAGTACTAACAGGTTTCAATTATCTTTGGTTACAGAGTATAACAAAAGCATGGTTCCCTCTGGTAAACAGTAAAACCACATGTTTTAATTTCTAAAAGGTTTTAAAGAACTAAAAGTAAAAAGACTTACTGCCAGTTGTTTCCATGTGCCGCAAGATGCAAGGCAGTCATCCCATCCATAGTGAGAGGCGTTGATACATCGAGAGGGGAATGGGGGGGTTCCAGTTCCTCGCCATCCATAGGGGCCAGGAGAACAGGAGGATCAGTGAGAGGTAAGGGAGGTGGCACACCAGGTATAGAGGAACAATAATTATTCTTTACTGAAGCAGATGGGGTTAATGTAGAGGACAAACTTGAAGCTAGACTGACCACAGGGGAAGAGTTTGTCGAAATACACATGGAGCCCAAAGTAGGGCTGAGTGGAGATGACGAGAATAATGGTGGGGGGGATGATGAGGGTAATGGAGGTGGTGAAACAGAGGAGTTGGAGGAGGATGGTGAAGAAGCTGTTACTGCTGCTTGAGAAGAAGGGCTTGTTAGAAAGCTGAAAGCTTGTGGTGATGATGCTACTGTACACAATGGAGGTGAAACGAGGCCTCCATCATCTGCACTCTGTTTTGCAGTCTGAGGAGGGGGAGGAGAGAGAGGTGGGAGGAGTGGTGAGAGAGGGCGGACTGGGGAAGAGATACTGGAGGATGAAGGAGAGACAGGGGATGGAGATGAAGAAACATTATGTATATCAGGGACACTGGAGAGGCTGGGAGCTAGGTTTGGGGAGGTTGGTACTGCTATGTTTGAGGAGCCTGAAATGAGAAAAATCATTGATTTTACAATTATAACATAGTTATGAATATAAAAATTTTAGTAAAAGAAAAGAAAAGAAAAAAAATATATATTTTTTTCTAAATGAAAAGATAGTTAACACTGAAGATAAAACAAAGGTTCATGCATCACTTTGTGTTACTGAGATTTTACTAAGTACTGATTTTGAATATATATCTAATCTTGTAAACTTTCTCTGAAAAATGTGTATGCATGTACATACCATTTGTAGTAATGTGTATATGTGGATGTGTATATGTGTATGTGTATATGTGGATGTGTATATGTATATGTGGATGTGGATATGTGGATGTGGATATGGATGTGGATATGGATATGGATATGGATATGGATATGTGTGTGTGTGTGTGTGTGTGTGTGTGTGTGTGTGTGTGTGTGTGTGTGTGTGTGTGTGTGTGTGTGTGTGTGTGTGTGTGTGTGTGTGTGTGTGTGTGCGCGCGTGTGTGTGTGCGTGCGTGCGTTGTACCTACCTATATATATCTATGTATTTATGTAGTTAATTTATACAACTCCAAGCATTTTTACAATATACATACACATATTCAAATATTTATAGATTCATACATACTTGTCATAAATATAAATTTATGTATCTACATATACAAATATTAATGAACTGAGTATGTGCTGTATTCTCATTTATTTGTCTGCAACAGAGCAAATGATTTACAGAAGAAATTCTTAGAAAAGTGATGTCAACTGAACTTCATAAATTGCATTCAAGCTTAAATTCCCTTTAGCAATCCTCAATTGGTGCACATCCTTCTCAAGAAACTATATTATTAAAAAAAAAAAAAGAAAAAGATACTGGCCAAATTAACTGATTGCATGAATAACCTATACATTGCATATAAAGAATAGTTCTGAACACTTATGAAATTGAAAGTACTCTCATTGAGCCACAGGAAATCTTAAATCAAATAAATGAGCTCATACACTTTCCTTTATATTCATGTCCTGTAATTTTTTGCCTTTTAAGAAACGCTAAATGAGAAAACAGTTGACTTTTCTTTACAATAAACAAAATTGTTTCTATTTTCTTTATATCTAACATATTTTCAAGGGTGATAATCTTCATTAATAATACCTTTATAATCAGTTGCAGAATAACAATTGCACTTGTGGAGGGGATATTTTAAAACATGCAATAGAAGTATGATCTACAATATAGAGATCAGAAATCACTCTGATTCATCTATTTCAGGAGCAGCAGAATTATCAATACTACAGATTAAGAACTGAATTCCAAAACATGTATTTTCCTTTATTTGATATCACTAACTGACCTTTTACTGACCTTCCTCCCTACTCTGAAGAGTCAAACTGAGGACAGAGGGCCTTAAAGATAAGCATTTGGGCAATGAAAATTATTATATATGACCCACTGGACTTCCCATCTTTGCTTTTAGAAGTTGCATTTTCATAAATAAAACAAATGAATATAATGAAACATGAACCATAATTATGAAGAAACTCGTATAATTCTGTAAAGTAGTCACAAAATATTACCAATCAACTAATAAGAAAGAGTCTATATATCCCTCTCAGAAATGTAAATAGACTAATATAACTGAAAAAGAATTATAGCCAGCTGAAGTCTAATTTTGATCTACAGCACACAAGCCAACATTAAAGGTCCAGGCACTTCTCCAAAACAAATCTACATACTTAACTTCAAAATTCAATATGCAAATGCCTTAAAGATTAATCACAGCAAAAATACACCTACACTACATGAGCACAGCTATTTCTCCCAATGCAGCTACAGTGAACATGCCATTAGTATACACACACTCAAAACAGTCATGCATACACTTTTGTTTCAAAAATTTAAATACAGAACAACAACAGTATTCTTAAATGTGAGACCTTCCATACTACTGCAGTAGGAAAACCAATATCACTTAGCATGAAAACAATCACCCCCCACCCCCCACCCAAAAAAAAAAGGTGTGTGTGTGTGTGTGTGTGTGTGTGTGTGTGTGTGTGTGTGTGTGTGTGTGTGTGTGTGTGTGTGTGTGTGTGTGTGTGTGTGTGTGTGTGTATGTGTGTGTGTGTGTGTGTGTGTGTGTGTGTGTGTGTGTGTGTGTGTGTGTGTGTGTGTGTGTGTGTGTGTATGTGTGTATGTGTGTATGTGTGTATGTGTGTGTGTATGTGTGTGTGTGTGTGTGTGTGTGTATGTGTGTGTGTGTGTGTGTGTGTGTGTGTGTGTGTGTGTGTGTGTGTGTGTGTGTGTGTGTGTGTGTGTGTGTGTGTGTGCGTGTGTGTGTGTGTGTGTGCGTGTGTGTGTGTGTGTGCGTGTGTGCGTGTGTGTGCGCGTGTGCGTGTGCGTGTATGTGTGCGTGTATGTGTGCGTGTATGTGTGTGTGTGTGTGTGTGTGTGTGTGTGTGTGTGTGTGTGTGTGTGTGTGTGTGTGTGTGTGTGTGTGTGTGTGTGTGTGTGTGCATGTGCGTGTGCATGTGCGTGCGTGCGCGCGCGCATACATCTACATGCAGGAACATAACCATATATATCACATGTCTAGAGGATTCTGCTAAAAGCACTAACAAAATGTTACTCCGTTGGTAAACTCCCGCACCCCCCCATAGATATGAATGACTTCCAAAGGAATTAGTTATTTCATCCCATCTAGTCAACTTTTTTTCTGATGTGTTACTACCAGTAATCCAGAAAAATAAACTGTAAAATGGGAAATTATTCGAAGCAACATAGCTGCGTTACTGAGACACGAAGCCGAGGCAGAAAGAGTCTTGTTATCAAAATGGAAATGGTATAATTTGGTACTTATCTTTCCCCAAAAAAGTTTTATTCCAGATTCCTGGTACCAAGTGAAAAAAGCTTGAGTAATATGCTGGTACCAATAACTAAGGAAGTGCTCTGGATGTCAGTTCTAGTAGTTGCTCTTATAGATTTGACATATTCAAATCTCTCAATCTATCTATTTTTGTTTATGTATATATACTGTGTGTACACATACAGACAGACACCTGACAGAAAGGAGGAAAGCCATGTTTACACATCTGTGGAGTCCATGACAACTAGGGGATCCATTATATACATTATAGCCATGATCCTTTCTTTCTTAAATTCCCCAAGATAAACTTGCTGCCTATCATGTGCAGTTGTTCCTGTCATGCAGTTCTGAAACATATTCAAACACTTTCTATTATCAGTCCTCTTAATCACCCTAATGAATTGTTACTCTATCTAACAGACAAGCCTCCAATTCTTTTTTTCTGACTAAAAATCTGTTTAATCTAATATTTATTTTTCTTTATTATTCTTGATTCCCAAATCAACATAAATCAACATACATGCCATGCCCACTGTGAGTTTGCTTTATTAATTGTTTTTACACATAGATGTTTACATTTGTAGCAAGCCACCAATGAGCCAATTATGAGTACTGCCCATCTCACCTGTTTACCCTTTTCCTTGATTTTTGAAAATATTTTACATGATCTTATAATGCTGTTACTAATGTCTATAACATTATAGTAATAAGGTCTGTAATAAAAATAACACCATGGATAGAATTAGTATAAAAATGTTTTTCCTGCAAATTCAATGAAAAGTGAAATCAGGCAAGGTCATAAGGTTTACTAATTAACTCCTTTGTGGCTAAGCACTTGGAGAGCCATCTATGTGCAGAGACCTTCCCCCTAAAAAAATAGAAAATGAGCACAGCATTCTTCCTGCTGCACTGAATTAAACAAAATAAAAAAAAATTACCCGAACTATGGATACTCAAATAAAGAACTGCTGAAAAAATATCCACATCAAAATCCTTTGTTTGCAGTCTTGAGACTGAGCAAATATGAAAACAAATCAGTGCTTTACTGATAGCTTCAAGCCAGCTCTGATGGTGTGAACAAAGTAATTCACACTATATAGTTGCTGGAGTTAATCTGTGTTCATTTGTCCTTCAAATGAACACAGAATACCAATTATAAAAAAAAAATATTTATCTATTTGGTTTCCCTATCAGTCTATTGACTGATTCTTTGTCATAAGCCTTTTTGAAATTCATTTATATACAGTTTCACTCTTACAATTCTGCAATTCTACCATGTAGATCAATGACAATTAAAACCACTTTCACTGGATGGTGTCTAATCATGTCATGGCAAACCAGGCCCAAATGTTGGGTGACAAGTACCTATGCTATGTGTGATAAAGCCTACTCTAATTTGTGCAGCCAAAAGGGAGATGGCAGGGTAAAAGTATGTTTCTCACACTTTTACTTTTTGAGCATCTAACTGTGGAAATTCTGTTGTGAATGGTTAGCATGGTACACTCCACCCTCCCTAAATACAAATTGCTTGCTTAATATCAGTTTTTTTCTCAAGCAGTTTGCTCTATTTTCTGATAATTTCTCTAAAAATGTGAATAATAAACTAGGTTAGTGCTATTATTGCAAATGCCCATTTTTCTGTTTTTCAATTCTTGAAGTACACTTGCTGGCCTGGAAACCTCTAAATCTTCTAATTAGCAATTATTTTTCCTCCACTGCATTTAATTCTTCTCGGTCTCTGTATAAGAACTTCCCTCACTCTCTATCATAAATTTTCCATTATCTGAACTTTCTTGCATTCTGCATGGTTTCTAGCCAATTTCATTATGCCAGTTAGCACTTTTGTTGAGATTGTCACCTTCACCTGGCCTTTTTTGCCCATTCTAAAGTTTTTACTATAATGTGGGATTCATAGTTTAAGTACATTCTAAAAAAAGACATGAGAATGAATATGTTCACAATACAAGAGATGTATTTGACTGGTTTTGAATATATCTTCATCAGAAATACATGTATTTCATATTTTTTCTACACTTGTCAACATGAATTGAGTTCATTTCCAATTAGTTTCTTATAACTGTTTCACACTGTATTAATGGTTTCTTTGACTTGTATCAGAAAATACTGCTTCAACTTTGTTTCTTCTTAAACTTCAGTTTGATTAT